GCAAACCATATATCTGACAATAGGTTAATCTCTAAAATATATAAGGAACTACTACAACTCAATAGGAAAAAAACTAATAAAAACGGGCAAAGGACCTGAATAGATATTTCTCCAAAGAAAACATCAAAATGGCCAACGGGTATGTGAAAAAATGCTCAAAGTCACTAATCATCAACCAAGTGCAAATCAAAACCACAATGAGATAACAATTCACACATGTTAGGATGGCTATCATGAAAAAAATAAAAGACAAATGTGGATGAGGATGTGGAAAACTTAGCACACTTGCACACTACTGATAGAATGCAAAATGGGAGAGCCACTATGAAAAACAGTACAAAGTTTTCTCAAAAAATTAAAAATAAAACTACCATATGATCCAGCAGTCTCGCTTCTGGGTGCTTATCCAAAAGAATGAAATCGAAATCTCAAAGAAATATTAACACTCAGTTACAGTTCATTTCAGGACTTTTCACAATAGCCAAAATGTGGAAACAACCTAAATTCCATCAACAGATGAAGGGATAAAGAAAATGTGGTATATGTATAAAATAAAATACTACCAACCTTTAAAAGGAAAGAAATTCTGCAGTATGAGACAATGTGGATGAACCTTAAGGACATCATACTAAGTGAAATAAGCCACAGTTATAGAAAGACAAGTACTGCCTGATTCCACTTACATGAGGTATATTCAAATTCACAGAATCAAAGAGTGGAATGGTGGTAGTAGGGGGTGGGGGTTGGGAGAAATAAAGAGTTATTAATCAATGAGCATAAAGTTTTACTCAAGCCAGATGAATAAGCTCTAGAGATCTGCTGTATCACGTAATAGCTATAGTAAACAATAAGATACAGTCATGCGCAACATAGCGCATTTTGGTAAACAGCAAACTGCATATATGACAACTCTAGAGATCTGCTGTATCACGTAATAGCTATAGTAAATAATAAGATACAGTCATGCGCAACATAGCGCATTTTGGTAAACAGCAAACTGCATATATGACAGCGGTCCCATAAGATTATAAAACCTATACCATATAGCCTAGGTGTGCAGTAGGCTATACCATCTAGATCTGTGTAAGTACACACTATGATGTGCCCGCAATGACGAAATTGCTTAATGACACATTTCTCAGAATGTATCCCCATCGTTAAGTGACACATGACTGTACTGTACACTTAAAAATTTGTTTAGAGCGTAGATCACATGTTAAATGTTCTTACCATGATAAAATAAAAAACAAAAGAAACTTAAGGGATCAACCAATCTAAAAAAAATCCAATGCTCAATCATGATAAAACTCTCAGCAAACTAAGAACAGAAGGTAACTTTCTCAACTTGATAAAGAACATCCACAAAAAAATCTATGGCTAATACCATACTTAATGGTTAGAACTAAATGCTTTCCCACTAAGATCAGGAACAAGGCAAGGATGTCCCTCTCACCACCCTTATTAAACATCATACTGGAAGTCCTAGCTAATGTAGTGAGACAAGAAAAGAAAATAAAAGGTATACAGATAGGGAAAAAAGACATAAAACTGTCTTTTTTTATGGATGACATGATTGTTTATACAGAAAATCTCAAAGAATCAAAATAACAACAAAATCCTGGAACTAATAAGTTATTATAACAAGGCTGCAGGATATAAGGTTACAACAGTCATTTAGCTTCTTATATACCAGCCATGAACAATTGAAATTTGAAATTAAAAGCAAAGTACCATTTAATTAGCACAAAATATGAAATATTAAGTATACTTAGTATAAGAATGTATACTTAAGAATAAATCTAACAAAATATGTATGAACCCCATATGAGAAAAACTTTAAAACTCTGATAAAATATCAAAGAAAATCTAAAGAAATGGAGAGATATACCATGTACATGGAAAGGAAGACTCAATATTGTCAAGATGCCAGTTCTTCCCAATTTGATCTATAGATTCAATGCAATCCCAATCAAAATCCCAGTAAGTTATTTTGTAGATACCCACAAACTGATTCTAAAGTTTATATGGAAAGGCAAAGATCAGAATAGCCAACATAATATTGAAGGAAACAAACAAAGTGGGAAGACTGACCTTAACTAAAAATTTCAAATTTCAAGACTTCCAGACTTACTATAAAGTCACAGTAATCAAGACAGTGCAGTATTGTTAAAATAACAGACAAGTAGATACATGGAAGAGAATAGAGAGCAAGCCCAGAAATAGACCCACATACATAAAGTCAACCGATCTTTGACAAAGTAGCAAAGGCAAGTCAATGACAAAAGGGTAGTCTTTTCAACAAAGGTGCTATAAAAACTGAGCATCCACATGCAAAAATACGAAACTAGACACAGTTCTTATACTTTTCACAATAATTAACTCAAAATGAATCAAAGACCTAATTATAAAATACAAAACTATGAAACATCTAGAAGATAAAATAGAAGAAAAAATAAGTAATCTTGGGTCTGGCAATTACTTTTTAGATACAACCCCCACAGTATGACTCACGAAAAAAAAATTTCATTAAGGACTTCTATTCTGCAAAATACACTGCTATGAGAATGAAAATACAAGCCACAGACTGGTATAAAAATCTTTACAAGACACATGTCTGATAAAGGACTGGTATCCAACAAATGCAAAGACATCTTAAAACTCAATGATAAGAAAAAAAAATTAATGGGCAAAAGATTTGAAAAGGCACCTTACTAGGGAAGATATAGAGGTGGCAAATAAGCATATGAAAAGATGCTCAACATCACATGTCATCAGTGAATCGTAAATTAAAACAATGAGACACTACTACACATTTATTAGAATGGCTAAACATTGACAACACCAAATGCTGACAAGGATGAGGAGCAACACAGACTCCATTAATTGAGGGTGGGACTGCAAAATGGTGCAGTCACTTTGGAAGACAGTTTGGCAGTTTCTTTCAAAATTAAATATAGTCTTAACATATGACCCTGTACTTATACTCCTTGGCATTTACCCAAATGAGTTGAAAACACGTCCACACAAAAATCTACACACAAACGTTTATAGCAGCCTTATTCATAATTGCCAAAACATGGGAGCCACCAAGATGTCCTTCAATTGGTAACTGGATAAACAAACTGTGGTATATCCATATAATGGAATATTATTCAGTGACAAAGAAAAAAATGAGCTATCATGCCCAAAGAGACATGGAGGAAACTTAAAATCATATTGCTAAATGAAAGAAGCCAACATGAAAAGTCAACATACTGTATGATTACAACTACATGACATTCTGGAAAAGGCAAGATTATAGAGAGCATAAAAAGATTCATGGTTGCCAGTTGTTTGGAGGGAGCAACAGACAGGTGGAGCAAAGGGTATTATTAGAGCAGTGAAGCTATTCTGTGTAATACTGTAATAGTGAACATATATCACTATACGTTTGTCAAAACCCACTGAATACACAAAACGAGTGAACCCTGATGTAAACTTTAGAACTTTAATTAGTAAAATATCAAGCTTGGCTCATCAACTGTAACAAATGCACCACACTAATGCAAGATGTTAATGGTAGGGAAAACTGAGGGTGGAGGAGAATATGGGAATACTCTGCAATTTTCTCTCAATTCTTCTGAAAACCTCAAGCTACTCTAAAAATATATATATGTAAGTATATATATATGCTACACACACACATATATATAAAGGTTTTAAGCAGGAGATTAATACCTGTTTCAATTTTTTTAAAAAGAGGTTAAATATATATGTAAGTATATATATATGCTACACACACACATATATATATAAAGGTTTTAAGCAGGAGATTAATACCTGTTTCAATTTTTTTAAAAAGAGGTTAAAAAAGGCAGACAATACTAGGTATTAGTACTGACCAATGTATAAATTGATACAAACTGCAGTATCTACTTAAACTAAAAACATTTATAAGCCAGTAATTCCATTTCTAGGTACATAGCCAACAGAAAACCATACATATGTTCAACAAAAGCCTTGAACGAGAATTTGTAGAGCCTCACTGCCCTTAACACCCAAAATCTGAGAACTACCTAAAGGTCCAGGGGTGATAAAACAAATAAACAACAGGCTGCTACTACACAACATTTAGAATAATAAAGTAAACAGTATAGACAAATCTCACAAAAATATGGAGCGAAGGAAGCCGACATAAAGAATTTAATATTGCATGGTCGCATTATGTAAAGTTCAAAAACAACCGAAAGTAATCTGTGTTGTTAGAAGACAGAATAGTGGTCACCCTCATGGAGAAAGTGACTGGAAAGGGGAGAGGGAGATGTTGGAGAGCTGGCAATAGCCTGTTTCTTGATCTGGATGCTAAGTAGGTGAGATCAATTTGTGAACAGTCATCAAGCTGAGGATCTGTATCTATAATACAGTACAATAAAACCGTTTTAAAAAGTCACGTAGGGGCAGTTCAGTTCCTTCCCTGGAGGTACAAGTGACATGTCCAGCACCTGGAGACTCTGAGTGCTGAATCAGCAGAACTCCTCCAGGCTCCAGACATTATCCCACACAGTCAAAATAATGAAGACCTTGAATCACCCCAACATTGTGAAATTATTTGAAATGACAGAGACTGAGGAAACACTTTACTTTGTCATGGAGTATGCTAGTGAAAGAGAGGTGTTCGATCATTGAATGGATCGTGGCAGCATGAAAAGAAATAGTCCCACGGCAAATTCCACCAAGTAGAGTCCACTGTGCAGTACTGCCACTAGAAGGGTATTGTCCACAGAAAGCTAGAGGCAGGAAACCTGATGGTGGATGCTAACGTGAACATGAACTTTGGCAACAATCTTGATACCTTGTCTGGCAGCCCCCTTGTGCTGCCCTGGAACTCTTCCAGGACAGAAGAGTTGCCCCGCAGAGGATATGTGGAACCTGGAGCCATCCCACATACACCGATCAGGGATTCCTGCCCTGTGACAGGCAGAACTTAAGAAGCCGGGGGAGCGGTACTGAGTGGAGTATACCATGTTCCCTTCAGCTTGTCGATGGAGTGAAAAAGCTGCTCCAGAAACTTCTCATCCTCAAACCTAGCAAGAGAGGTTCATTAGAGCAAATCATGAAAGTTTCACGAATGAATGTGCCCTGTTGAAGATGACAACTAAAACCTTACATTGAGCCTCTCCCTGACTACAGGTCCCTGGTGGGCTGAGGCAATGGTGTCTATGGACACACAGGGTGAGGAGAGGTGGGAGAAGCAGTAGCAGGAGCTGGAGGCTGTGAAGACCACCTGCCCTGAGTCCATATCTCCAGGTAGAGGGATGGGTGGGGGGAGGTGCATGGCGCTCACCTCACAGAGTCCATCAATATTTCCTTTTCAGAGAAATTTGTCCAAAATATATCTTTAATAAACCAGTAAGTAACCACAGGCACAACTGCATAATATTATTTTACTAGAAAATATGAGAATGTAAATTCAGAGGAAGGTCTGGTATACTTTACCTTAAGATGTTCATGGTCATTACTTACAGGTGGTGAGATTATGGGGGTTTGGACACTGGTATCTTCAAATTTGCACATGACATGAAAACACTGCTTTTGAAAATCAGTTGTCATTTACTTTGGAGAACGTCCCTCAATTTGGGTTGTCTTATGTTGTCTCATGATTAGATTGAGGTTATAACATTTTGGGAGAAAAAAATCCCACAGAGGTGATGTGCCCTTTTCAGTGCATTGTTATTTTTTTGTAATAAAGAACTACTATTATAGTGTTAAAATGAAATCCATGTGCAGAAGGCATTGTGTTCTTAAAAAAAAATTCAAGGCAAAAAATACACTCTACAAACAAATCATTCTAAAAATGAGCTCAATATTCTTAAGTTGGGTAAATGGAGAATCTGCCTGGAATTTGCCATAAAAACAAGCAGAAGTCACACTACTCACACTCCAAAAATGATGAGCAAACACTGAGGGTCAGACACTGTAACTGCACAAAGTAGTGACACATGGTGCTGCCTTGGGATACCCCATAACTTTCATGAGGGTCCAAGTGACATGCTAATGAGACAGGCAGAATCAGTTTGTATGACAGTCATGGCAGGGAGGGGTGTGCTTCAGAGCTGGGGGTGCAGCTGTTGGTCTGTGACAGCTGAAATTCCTGACTGTCTCTTCAAGGTTCTACTTGGAGGAAGAACCTGTAACAGAGTACACAGTCTACTCTTATACAAACCCCTAGCGCATCTCATGTGTATAGTTAGTAGATCACGTTATTTTTTCCCCCTGTATGTGATAAATCATATATTCTTTAGGACTCTTGATTCATATCTTGAACATAAATGATCTGCTTTAGTATTTGTTTACTGCAAGAATCAGACCTACTGTAATCTCTTTTTAGGATGAACATTAATCCAACTCTGTCTGGAAAAATTATGCAATTCATTACCATAAGTAATCTCTATTGTACACTGTGCTTAACCTTCATTTTTTTCCCCAGTCCTATAATCTCGCAAATCCACTGGTGGTATGTGATTGGCATCTGGTGTTCACACAACCTCTGCCTCACAATTAATAAATGAAAAATCCCCAAATAAAAATGTCACTCTCCAGGTTATCAATGATTCAACTCTCTGCTTTGGTAACTTTTTAACCACTCTAGAAAAACCTGTTAACTTTGGTCTAGAGACCACTCTAGAAAGGTCTGAAGGAGTAAATAAGATGTTTACTCTTTAAATGTTTTGGCTCTTTCAGGATGGCAACTGACTTAAAACTTCATTTAATTGCCTGATAGCAAAGATATTCACTGTTCAAACACTTCCGATCAAAGCATTTCAGTGGCAAAGTAAAAGCAAGCAATGATGAATGGTCAAAAATTTCTCCATTTCTGACATGAAATCAGAGCAAAACCAGTTTGAACATGACTAAATATATCCTCACACCCCAGGCATACCTCTTCAAGACATATACTAGTTCATGTCTAAACATCAATTCATCTATGCAATTTTGTGATCCAAATAAAGCTTTGTATGTAGAATGTACCTTGTAAACTCAATTCCATTAGCAGATTTATACTAATGCCTTGATCAAGTGAGTGATTTGTAAATGCTTCTTTGGATAAGAAGCCAAACCACATCATCAGTGTAGGATTTCACTCAGAGAAGTCTATGATCGTTTGTTTGTTTGTTTGTTTGTTTGTTTGTTTGTTTGTTTTTTAAAGCTGGGAGGGGTTCCCAGGATGGCACCATGAAAATAAGGTATATTTTTTTAATCTCCAGCAGGCCCCACAAACAATGAACAACGATACCACTGGAGTTCTTTACGACTTGACCCTGTGTAGTAGGGTGTAGTTGAAGCTCTCATCCTTTCTCACGTGCATTACTCCAACAGCCTCCTGACTAGTCTCATCACACTGAACGAGAGTACTGGAGCCACATGGTGTGGTTCTGATCCCAGGCACCGCCAATTCCCAGCTTGGTGGCTATGGTTAATTTATTTATCTTTGCCTCTGGTTCTTCATCTGTAAAATGGATATATGACTGTACTTTCCTTATGTGAGAATTAAATAAGTCATGAATAGAAAGAACTGAAAGCAATGATTTGCACATAGTGTGCACTCAAAATATTAGTTGCTATTATTATTATCATCATCATATTATCTTCACCTGGCATCATCTAAAATAAAAATCTAATCATGGCTCTCTCCTAAATTTTCTTTCCTAAAAGTTTTTAATGAAGTACCAATATTTAAGATTTTCTCACTTGCTTGAACACTTCCTTTATTTGTCTAATTTAGATTTTGTTTAAGGCTGCCATATATGATTTGCTGGTCACAGGATAAGGCACTAGAATAACCCGCCTAATTTGAAAGGAACGATAACTTTTCAGGCTATGTATTCTCTGAGAGAACACACTCAGAGAGGAACAAAAGTGGCTCCAAAGAGTACTGGATTTTAGGAGAAAGCCAGTCAAAAATATTTAAACAGACTAGACAATTTTAAAAGAGGAAAGTCAATTCATAATTGAAAGTTATATCAACTCCTTAATTAAAATAGAAAACCATGCAACTGAATTTGTAATTTCTGAGATGCTCAGTTGCTAATTTATTTTACAGATGGGATTTGATTAGCCTCCATGGAAGAGATATCAATTCCATTAACTCATCATTTCATACATTTGATTAAATCATTTGATTTCGAAATGTTTAATCAGAAGTTAGAACCCACAGTTTTGCGTAAACTAAATTATAACAGAGGACTAGCCCAGAAAGCCCTGGTAGTAACAATATAGAGATCCATGCCAAGGATGTTTAAATGCATGCTCAAGTGATCAAATGACATTTTATCAACCCAAGCCACTGAAGAAACAAAGTTCCAAATTCTGCAGACCAACACTAAAATAATCAAACACAGCTTATCAGAACCACAGGAAAGACAATTCAAGGGTACTCTAGTTTGCTGAGATGGAAAGCTAATGAAGAGCCTGAGGACCATATGTTACACCTGCTTCATAATATGATAATTCATAACCATATTTTAATATTAGATAAACTATTAACATAGCAAAAACTAATAATATCTTTTCATTTGTAACACAGCACATGGCACTGCTGAAGGCAATGTTTTGATCTTATGAGTTAGAGGGAAATACCATTCTTTTCCAAAGGTCAGTTCCTTACTCTGGCTGATGATTTTAAGTCACTGCATAAACAGAGTGTATGAATACTTCAGGAAATCCATCATCAGCAATACTGGAACATGAAACAAAGAAGTCTACTTACGGAAATCACTAAGGTTTGCAAATCCTGAAATTCTATTAGAGACAACCTTTTACATCCTTTGCTCAGGCTACTCTGTCTTACCTGCACCCTCCCACTTGTATTGTGAAATCAATTTTCAATGTTTATACCATTATCATTATTAAGAGAGTATTCAATTGCTTTGTTTTTGCATTTGCCTTCTTTTCTGTGTACTCATCACTAATTCTTATCAATCTCTTTCAGTACTCTACATTCTCAATATGGTCAGACATATGGTCCTGTAATTTTCATATAGCTCCTCTCCTATTTTCCATCATTTTTTTCTTTTGCTTCACTTTCTTGACTTTATCCCTTTCACAGTTTATTTTATTTCTACTCTTAGATTTCTAATTTCCAAGAGTTCTTTTGTACTCACTATATCTTAATAAAAACTGCATTCTGCTCTTGTTTTATGAATGCAATTTTCTTCTCTTATCTTTCTAAGACTTAAAAATAATTCTTTAGGATGTTTTCCTGTTCCTTGAATTGCCTATTTTCTCCAAGTCTTTTTCTTCTGTTTCTTTGTTATGTTTTCTCTTTCATGATGGAAATTTTCCTTAATATCTCATGATCTCTAGCTTCCTTTTACTTTTGAAATAAAACTCTGTGTGTGTTGGTAGGGCTGGTGGATTTTAACATATGGTCTCCTCTCTTTGCTAGTTAGTGGATTAGGCTGTATCTTTTTATTTTAATTTTGCATTGAGAACTTTGGAGATAGAACATGGCATACAAATATACACAAGTACATTTCCCACAAAGATTAACCAAATTTGAATTTTTCTTAATTATACTTTTTTGGAAATTATTGTCAAAGTTGTTTGGAGCAACATTTGTAGATAATAAATTTTTTAGTTTATATTTATGAAGATTTTTAATAGATAGAAGATGTTAGGGAATTCTGGCATTAGAAATAAGGAAAGACAGAAAGATGATGTGCTCTATAGATATGCAATTGTCAATTCCAGGGTAGAATAATGGACTTTATTATTTCACTGTGCTGTTCCCAAAACTACTCCAACATTCCCTAAGTGATATTAACTTGTTTCAGGGGCTGGGAGGATTAGGGAGAACGGCAGAGAGAACTAGGGTAAAGCAATACACAGATGCTCTAAATTCCAATGGAGTTATGTACTAATAAACCCATCATTAGTTAAAAATATCGTAGGTCAAAAATGCACTTAATACACCTAACCTACCAAATATAATAGCTCAGCCTAGCCTACCTTAAATGTGCTCAGAACATATACGTTAGCCTATAGTGCTGGGAGGATTAGGGAGAACGGCAGAGAGAACTAGGGTAAAGCAATACACAGATGCTCTAAATTCCAATGGGGTTATGTACTAATAAACCCATCATTAGTTAAAAATATCGTAGGTCAAAAATGCACTTAATATACCTAACCTACCGAATATAATAGCTCAGCCTAGCCTACCTTAAATGTGCTCAGAACATATACGTTAGCCTATAGTTGGGCTAATTCATCTAACACAAAGCTTATTTTATAAAGTTTTGAATTTCTCATGTAACTTATTGGATACTGTACTGAAAGTGAAAAGCAGAATTGGTTGTATGGGTGAATGTTTAAAGGAGTATTAATCATAATAGCCAAAAACTAGAAACAATGAAAATGTCTATTAACTAGTGAATGGATAAGCAAAATTTTGTACATCTGTACAATGGAATATTATTTAGCAACAACAACAACAACAAAGAACAAATCACTGAAACAT